AAAAAGTCAATAAAAATTCATTGTACAATATGCCACAAAAAGTTCATTCAAAAAAATCATAAAAATATCATAATAGTAAGAATAGTATTTTTTTTTTTCCACAGAAAAAAAGCCACTTCTTCATAAGTTCATACCTCAGTAAGGTATGTCATAAAGATGTCATAGTAAATTATAGAATGCCACAAAAAAGTCATGGTATAGTATGGCATGAAAAATGTCATAAAAAGTCATCATATTTTGTGCCTTATACATGACATAGAAAATGTCATTAAAAAGTCATTGTAAAGTATGCCTCAAAAAAATTAATAAAATGTTACAATATAGCATGCCATAAGTATTCATGCCCCTAGTATTTCACAAAAAAAAATAGCATTGCATATCATGCCATAAAAATGTAATTAACAGAAGTAATTAAAAATATGGTATGCCACAAAATTCTTTATTTTTTTTGCCATGAGAAAGTCATAAAAAAGTAATGAAAAAAGTCATAGTATAGTATGTCATTAAAAAATCATAGTCAAAAAGTCATAGGTTTACATGCTGTGAAACATGTCATAATATAGTACATCATATTATCATATCATCATATGTCATAAACATTTTCTTAAGTCTCTCATAAAAAAAGTAATGAAAAAAGTTATAGTATATAATGCCATAATAATATAGTCTGTCATAAAAAAAAAGTCACAAAGTCATAGTATAGTATGTCATAAAACATTATCCTATAATATAGCACGTCATGCCGCTGCTTACTTTAGCATACAACATCCTTGGACAAATGTACATATTGAAAACAAGCTTCACAATGTAACACTATGGGAAATGGTGTTTAAGACTTTTTAATTATTTTAAGTGCCTTAATTATCACTAACTTGTTTTAATAACTACTTTTAGTAATACTTTTAGGACCCTGTGGACGCACTGATTTATCAACTTTTATGTAATTCATCACCACAGACACATTTTCATCCAAATATAGAAACCTTTTTATTTTACAATTTCAGCAAAAATATTATACAATTCCAGTTTAATTGTACAGTTTGTTAAATATCTAAATACACTTTTACAGTTGCAATGTCAGTAGAAAAAAATATTGGATATTTTTTGTATGAGATACAAAATGTACACTTCCCTACACATCACACGTGATAAATTCACACACATGTACACAACATAGTGTGACTGGCCGATGCTGGCCGCTGACATTAAAAACCTTTGCGCTTATAAAATAAAATTTCTTTACACTGCTCACCGAATTTAAGTCTGAAAATTCATACTTAAATAAAAAGTATCTCGATATCACAACAAAAATTGGCAGCACTTTTACAACAGCCTTACTCCATAAACTGTGGAAAAGTATCGTGACTACAATACTCGATCCATATTTCCACGCTGTTAAATGGTTATCAAGGAGATGCTCATGTCGTTGATACATGGTGATAAGAGGTTTTAATACTTTACCACAGTGGATATAAGATGGATTAAAGCACATGTAAAGAGTCACCAATAAGATTCAACCCCAGTTACAGTTTGATGTACTGTAATAAAAACATACTTTACATGTGCAATGGAAAGGTACGTTGTACTCTGATAAGCAAGAAACAAACAGAAAAAAAATCACAACAAACTTCACTTCAAGGGATACAGTTAGCAACATTTTGGGCTATACTTTTGGCAAATTCCCCATAAAGATCATATAAGTTCTGTTTCTGAGCGTAAATTTGAATTAAAATTGAACAGTTGCTTAGCAGTTTGTGTAAAACACAGTAATGGCACAGATGTTCATAAACACTCTGACATCATCTAGTTTGCTCCAAATCCCCTGGATCTGTCACACACAACAGTTCAACATTATCATCATCTGCTCCTGATTATTTAAACAGAATGGCATCACTGTTGTTTCCTGATGAGGCTCGGATAAAGAAAGCTACTCAGACTGAACACTAGCCAACAATATTAAGAGCTTTGCATTTAATTACCAAGGAGGCCGTATTGTTGAAAAGCCAGGAGTGTTGGTTGGAGTGTTGAAGCAGAGCCTGTCAAAAGGCAGGTATTGTGTACGAAATACATCTTATTGGACTTCTGCTTAAAGCCGTATTCACTGACGTCTGTTTGCCACATAGCTGCCAATGCTCACTTTTTTTTCACCAGCTAGTCACAGATTTTGCCCATTTGCTCTTTGGCACCAGGCAGGTAGCACAGAGTAGGTTTATCAGGTTGTATTGGGTGAAAACAGAAAGCTGCCTGCTGATGTTGGAAACAAAACTGAACTTGATAGTAAAAAATGTAAAAATGTGCCATAACACCAAAACTGGGAGCTAAAAGAGGCTTATTGAGCTGCTTCCAATCCGATTGCCAAAAGCCCCATTTCCACTGAGCAGTATGGTACGGCCAGTTCAGTTCGGTATTTTTTTGTCTCCACTGCGAGAAGTTGTGGATGGCACCAATGGAACCATTTCGTACCGTGCCCATTTTTGGTCACTCGTCTGTCTCACTGCAGTCTGTTCTGTTTTTGCGTGCAACCTTGTTCTGGGGACGATAAACGAGGTGCGGACATTCCATCTATGAGGAAATACAGTGAGTGAAAACAACCTCGCCCACGTCTAAGGGTGATGTTTGCGGTGTGAATGCTAAACGGACTTAGGGTCTAGGTACCATGTCTGAAGGGTTACTTTTAGTGGAAATGGGACTCAGTGTCCTGTTTCAGGAAAAAGCACTTGCAAAATACCTGACATGTCAGCAGCAGTTTAAAATGTGAAATATTTTAAATCATCATCACTGTCACTGTCTTTTAGCTACTTTATATGGTATGTGTAATGGCTCTTTTATGCTTAGACACGTATACAGATGCAGATGGAGCCTTCTATCCATACTATGTGTTCATTTTGTTAGTATCTGGGCTCGTTATGGATACGCACAAATGGAGCAGTACCACCGGAGATCGTAGGGGCAGTGTAGCATAGCTCAAGCAAGATATGGCCATAGGACACGATGAAGAAATTTTAACCAAACAGAACGAATGTGTAATAGATCAAAAAAAAAAAATCTTTGTCCACGTGTCGCTATGTATTCAATAGCCTCACAGACCGCCGTCTGCTACGCTGTCTCCGTTAAAAGGTACATTATTAAGACTTCCTTCACCGTCGCCATGTTTGTTGTGAGAAACTTCTGACTCTGCCCTTGGGTCATGTAGTTGATGTCTTTGCTAACTTGAAGGACGTATGGAATTTTGTAGGCACTGACAGTCACAACATTTGGAGTCAACATATCTTCTTTGTACATAAAGTGAGTATAAATCCACCATCATTTTTTATCAAAGGTGGAGCTGATAGGAATCAAGTTCCAGTCAACAAGTTCTTATTTTATGAAACACTGTGGCTACGCTGCACTGTGAGATGAGCATGGCTGGCTCAGGGCAGACCAGATGTAATCAAACTGTTCTGTAGGACAGACATGGGGAAAGAAAAACAAAGAGAAACTTTCAAGATGACTACATCTCTCGATAGGTACTACAGCAATACAAAAATAACTTTACATTTGAACAAGTGTCTCATTTCAGCCCAAAATGTTGCCCTGTATATTCGTCCCTCTCCACAACTTTCTCCACATGTACAGTGTTCGCATTAAACAGCCTTAACAGTCCTTCACAATAAAGTCACATGATTGAACAGCCCAGATTGCACTACTGATCCGAACAGGACTTTGACACGTCACCCCGATAACAGTGTTTTAAAAAGAAAAAGGAAAAACAGTAGGAAATGTATTGGAATCAGGGTGTAAAGAGGTCAGATGGGTGTTCAGTTTGGTCCTGTAGTGGAAACTTGGCTACAGCAGTGACTCAGTGGTCTGAAGCAGCAATTCCCACTCACCTCTTAACAATCTGACAATGTACAAGTCGCCCAGGCGTGTAGCTGGAAGGTCAGGGGAGGAAAGGACACAGACATCCTGAACTAAATTTAAAACTCTATGCTCTTCTATCAGGAGCGCAACGTCAGGATTTTTCTTCACAGTAAAACAGGTGGAGCGAATCATTCTCTAGTTACATCATTATTATATTAATTGATATATTGAGTAATTGGTAATCGATGGATTTGCAACAGAAATAAATGATATGTGAGGCTGTCAGCTGCAGGACAACTCACAGATTAGAGATACGCACGATGCACAGGCTGCCACATTTATAATTAGTCTACAAAACATGGGAAATTCTACGTATACAGTTTAATTTATTCTTTTTTTTCTTAACGCTTTGTGGCTTTGGCTTTATTTCAATTCAAACTTCTGATGTCTCCTCTGAAGCAGATCAGCTAAAACATGAAGTCAAGCAGACACTTGACAGAAACTGGCTCGACCATGACTACATTTGCTAATTGTAAACTCACAACATCACATTGGCATTTCCAAGTCCATGACAAAGACTTTGCCAACATATTCAAGCTTCTAATCTGAAGGTTACGGAACGGACTGCATTCAAATGACAAATAATTTTTTTTTATTTGTCATTTGAATGCAGTCCGTTCCGGACCTGTTCCAGATCTGTTTTAATGAGTAATTTTTTTCTGTTTTTCAGAGTAATTTTTTTAAATTTCTGTTTTTCGTGGTATTTTTTTTTTTTTGTTTTTCAGGGTAATTTTTTCTGAGTCTGTTTGCTTCCATTATATCGAGCTCTCAAGAAAGGAATGAAAGCGTCTGTTGTTCTATTGCTCTCTTAACTCAGAAAAAAATACTCAGAAAAACGGAAAAAATGACCCCGAAAAACAAACAAAAAATACCACAAAAAACAGAAAAAAAAGACTACGAAAAACAGAAAAAATTACACCCAAAAACAGAAAAATAAAAAAATACTCAGAAAAACAGAAAAAATGACCCCGAAAAACAAACAAAAAATAACACGAATAACAGAAACAAAATTACCACGAAAAACAGAAAAAAATGACTACGAAAAACAGAAAAAATTACACCCAAAAACAGACAAATTAAAAGAAAAATTACTCCGAAAAACAGAAAAAATTACAAAATAAAATAGATTTTTTTTTTATTGGTCAAGTGAATGCAATACGCTTCTGTAGAAGGTATCATCTTCATCATGATAAATAATTCAAACACTGTCTGTTCAACTTGGGACTCACTAAAAACAAAGGGTTTCACCTGGGGGCAGTGCCATGCATCCTGCGTCCTAGAGTGTAGCGTGCCTGATGTGTGTTCTTGTCGGCTCACATTGGGTTGTCTTGTTACTCATCAGAAAAGCTAGCAAAACTGAAAAAAAAACAACAACAAAAAACCAAACCAAAAAACCCCCCTAAAAACTCTTTATTAATCCAATCTTTGCCGTAAGCCCAAGATTTTTTGTGATGATCAATTTATAAAGATTCTCTTAGATATTTGCTTCTTGTAATTTACTGCTGGCATGGCTGCAACCACGACAAAACTTCCCTACAGTTGGGGAGTCTGTGTGGTGATATCAATGTCGTTTCCTACATCAATAATGTGTGTAATGTGCAAGACCATACAAATTATAGTAAAACATGAACAGTATATTCTTTATGCCTTCATACTTATCAAACATCTAACAAACTCATTGTCTGTATTCAGTTTAATGTGCCTAACTGTCCAAGCTTTAGAAATTAAACTAGCCCATACTTCTTATTCTCATCGAACCAGTTTAATTCAGGATTCTTGTTCTGCATTCATACATGCAGGTTATGATATAAAGTATGAATGTGTATTCAGAGAATGGGCTGAGACAGCACAATCACGGAGCCTGACAAAGAGTGCACTGCTATGTCCCATCTAGGTGAAACCCTGTTTTGGGGGAGTCCCTGTTCAACTTCTTTAGTGTTGTGCCGTGTTTAAGTACCAGTAATATATTTCTTAATTTATAAAATGCAGGATTTGGAAGTTGAGTCAAGTGTCTATTTGGAGGACTTTTTCTTATTATTAGTGCAAGTAATGAAAATCAAAATATCAGCAAAGCTACCTCTATATTTTCCAGCTCTGCAAAATGTATTGCCAAAGTGTCTTGACTGAAAAACTGTCAACAGATGGACATATGATTTGATAATTATAAAATCTGCACATTCAGTTCAGATTTAATTGGCGGTTTATCTTTCTTGCTTTTACATATTTGTGTACCACACAATCTGACTTGCACAGACAAATGTAAATTTAGCAAACTAATATGTGCAAGCTAGCCTAATCTATGACTTAAAAGTATCCTGACTGAGGTATTTTGAAAGTATGACTTTGTGTTTTGGTCTACAGCTAAAATCTAACAGAGCATGAAACATGGAATTTAGGGATTAAAATGGCACAAACTGTACTGTACATTGCTCTGCTTCACAAAATCGGATTAGAGACTGGGTGCAGGCGACAGACCAGAACATCACGTTGAGCAGTAATCTAAATCATCATCGTTTCAACCACAGGATCAAATCAAAGAACGTTTCATTAAAAACAGAAAGAAAATCAAAAGGGTTTAAAAAGGTGGCAAACAACAGTTCCCTTTCCCATAAATGTACTTTGGATCGAACAGGTGGGAGAAACAGCACAACAGCATCATGTCGTTAAAATAGAACGGAGGTCTTCTTAGGGCTAGAGTTAACTTTTCAAGGCAGGAGTAAAATATGGTGGAAAAAAGTCTCTTTAGCTCTATTCACAGCCAGCAGTTACATGTGTGTTTAGAAAGCCATAGGAGTCACGAAGCCAGTGGTGCCTTCAATGTCCTGCACCAGAGTCAAAGGCAATTCATCTTCAATTCAAATGAGATTCTCTTTTGATGTAAAGATGAATTGTCCTCTCTGCTGATGTAGACATTTTAGACCACAGACACACACACATTCTGAAAATACACACACCTACATCTAGTCCTCTTCCAACAAGGCACGAAGATTTCATTCAAGTTTATCATTACACAAGTGCTTTATGCATTTTAAACCCACATTCATCTCAATCCCAGAGCTACCTCAGCGAGCCTATCCACAGTAATTCTCCCATTCGTCTCTCCTGCTCACACTGTACGCTAAAGTGATGTGTCAGCTCGGCAGCCGGCCAATCGGGCGGCCCTGCTGTGAATCAGCGGGCCTGCCAGTCACATAGCTAGTCATCCAGCCAGGCAGGCGTCCGTTTACAGTCCTGCCTGCTGCTTTGTGCCGCGACGTGACCCCGCGCTCAGCCGTCTGTGACGGGGTCGTTTCAGCGACTGATCGGCGGAGTCGGGTGGGGAGCAGCAAAGGGCGCACAGACAGCAGGGGGAGACTCTAAGAGGGGTGACAGCAGCTCCCACCCCCACCATCACCACCACAAACAACAAACAAGCCCTTGGCCAGCAAGAGCTGGCCCGCACTAACCCTGGCGTTGGATAGCACTCGCCTCTGAGGAATAAAAGAAGAACGTGGCACAGTGACAAACCTGCAGACGACTCATCGATAAATCCAACGAAGACAGTACAGAAAAGAAGAAAAAGGAGCGAGGGGCATTAGAAAGGTCGTCGTCTCTTTCTCTCACGCTTTCTTTGTCCACCTCCACTTTCTACCTTCAAAGCAGCTCTGCCCACATTGGCCACAGAGAAGAGGAGAGCGGACCAGGAGAAAATACAAGCCGATGGGGGCAGGGGACACGAGGGTGGATGAGGGAGGGAACAGAGGGTGGATGAGGGTTGTAAAGGAGAATCAATTCACCAGGTGATTTTCAGAGTGGTTCTGCCTGGCTTCACCCAGGCGTCAGGATGACTTTGGCTCAGCAGGAGCCCCCCCCCCAGGGAGGTTGTCAGAGCTGGAGAGACATAAGGGGATTTGAGAGCGAGTATGGAGAAGGTGGGCAAAGGTGCAGTCATGCAGGCAGATAGAGACGGACGTGCAGGCAGAGGCGGATCAGGAGAGACAGAAGGGGGAAAGAGATGGAGACAGAGGATAAAGGTACATAGACAGAGAGGGGAAGTAGAGAAAAAAACTGTGAGGGAACAGGTAAGGGGAAAGAAAGGCAAAAAAGGCAGAGAACAATTTAAATAGACAAAAGGAATGAGAAAAGAGAGGAATGTCACATAACCAATCAACAGCAAAACCAGGAAGTGAGACAGACCCACTGCCAGAGTGGCGCCATGACAGAACAAATACATCTCACACACAAAATCACTTTTAAACACAAACCCATCAATCAGAGCTCAACTCAAGTCTTTCGTCTCGCCGATGTGTTTAACCAACTTCCCCCACGGTGTCCCATCCTGCCTCTGTCTGAGCACCCTAAAGAGAAACAGCTGTCACCTTGGTGCCAGGTAAACGGGGAGCCAGAGTAAATGTAAAACCCCATTTCAGAGCAGCAGCAGCAGCAGCAGCAGCAGCAGATCCACATCTGAGCGCGTCAGGAGTGGATGCTGCAGGGCCTCAGTGAGCGCCCCGGTTGAAGTGTTCCAGCACGGTGGCGTTGGTTTTCTCAAACAGCCACTGCTGGCTGGGGGAGGAGGGGTTACATGTGTTCATGAAGACTCGCCGCTCGCTCGGGTTGCTGTCGATACAGCTGTTACTGACGGTGTGATACAGACTTTTATCCTGGAGGAAAGAGGAGGGAGAAACAGGAAGGATTGTTGAGAGAAAAGAATTAAGATTAGAGTTTAAGCCCCCTTAAAAAAATAGCTTTTCCATTTTACGAAGCATACAGTAACTGTAGTTGAAAGGTTGTTGCAGGTTGTGGTAACGCTAGCAATTTATTCCATCACCTCAGCAGAGAACGTGTTGGAATACCAAGAGTGTATGCAATTATGGTCATTGAATTCAAGGCCGTCAGGAGCGCCAGTGAAGCCAAAGGGTCAAACATCATCAGCATATGCTTGAGGCATTGCATGTCATGGAAAAGCAAGCGATTGAGTGACATTACAAACACAATAGCAATCCATCTTTGCAAGGACATGGTCTCGCAACAGACAGTCAAGAAAGAGGAGTTCAAAGCAGTGATTACAACACCAGAGTTAATATAACACTTAATATTAGGCTTGTGTTTTACTTGTGCAGTAGAATATTTCAGAAACGCATCTTTGGATACTTGAATACTTTAATGATATGGGTTTACAGTGGCTTATCCTACAGTCGGGCGTACATAAAATACAAGAACGTTTTAATGTCATCATGTATTACTGAAGGCTTCGATCCCTGTGTTTATACGACAATCTAAAAATGCTTAAAGTTAAAGTTGTTGGCATGTCAGGTTTTTTTTGGGTTATGTTTTACTACATTACACTTTGCACAATAAAAAATGTTTATGTTCTGCAACTGTTTCATACTAACTCCTCCATATATTGTTTTGTTTTGTGGGGCAACGCAAACCCTGTAATAATCAAGGACTAGGGCTGCCCCCTAATAGTCGACCAAATGTTAGGCAACCAGAAAGGTCTTTAGTTGGCACTCTTTCATTGGTCGCCTAGTTGCAGAAAAAAGCAAACTCCAACTCTATCAGGAGCTGCGCCTTATCAAAATAAATCAAAACCTATATAACATGTGGGAATTTAATTTGAAAGGACAGACACAGGAAGAGGCCATGCTCAACAGTCAGACAGGAGTCATGTTAAGTTGATCATGTTAGTGCAGGGCTACTCAGAGCTTTACATCTTTCCCACGGATGATAGACCTACACACTTATAAACAGCTCCTGGAGGAAGATCAGCTCTGCACTCAGGATTTCAGGTAAACAGGCTATGATACAGTGCTTGTTAAGGTTGCTTAGCAATCTCAGACGCAACCTGCCGCCACACACTTGAAAGCTGGCACAATAAAGGCACAAGAATAGCTCCCAGCGCCGGACCTCATGTTCTCCAGACATGGCATGTGTACGACCTCTAATTTCCAGGGCTGGTACCTGCGGTTATTCCACAGGCTAGTTAATAACATGTCGGGCAGGAAATCCAAAGTGTGGGATCATTTTGAGAAGGTGAAGGACGAACCCAAGGTGATATGTAAACTCATCTTCATTGGTCGACTACAAACATGACGTATCATCTGAAACATGGAAGTAGCTACATGCCCATTAGCCCACAGCGTCATTAACAGGCGGCTCGCTCAGTGTGTGACGTGCACTTGGAAATAAAATATAGGCCTATATTAATGAAGGTTCATTAGTACGGTTTTGTATTTCTCTGTAATGTAGCACAGTGTTAACAATGTTACTGATACTATTCTTTCTCACACCTTCAACTCAAACCATTGTGTTGCCCCGCCCAAAATATATAGTTTCATAATTAAATTAATATCATATTGGTCGACTAGGAAAATTCTTAGTCGAGGGCAGCCCTATTAAAGACTTCACATACGCTATGCTTTTATATTTATATACCAGAAAACCACCAGTGTCAAAAACAAAAAACAAAAAATGATGTATAACCAATTGATAAATGTTTGTAAATTATTATGAGATGTATTCGTTCTGTTATTCATCAAATGTATTTGTCAAAAACTGTTTTGTACATTTTGCTGTATTAACCACCAGCTTGATGTTTTCTTTTGCTTCCATGTGTTTACTGCTGTGAATAAGCTTGTTTGTGTCATCGCATTAAATCCTCGAAAAAATATAAACACGGCCTCGTCTATGGCATGTTTTTGTATTAACTGAGCTTAAATGCATAAAAACAGCATAATGACGTCCTTTGAATATCCATCAGCTTCGGGGCAGATTCTGTTTAAAAGTGCAAAACTTTATGAAATGATTAGGAAGCCCTTAAGTGATTTATTCTTTAAGCGGTTTTGTTGTTAGTGTTGTTTTATACAGAAAAAGAACAAAGTGTTGAGAACAGAGAGAGTGATATACTGAGATAATGTGTTTACAGTTTGGGCTCTGACACTGGGGTGCTCTTTTCTCTGCCGTACCTTTCTGTAGCGCCACAGCTGGTTGCCTTTCATGCCGTGACAGTCGTACAGGGTGACGGGGCTGTTGTGGGAGATGGCGTCGAAACAGACTTTTTTTGTGTGCATGGGGTCACCCACCCGGATGTCCTCCCTCCAGCCGAATGTGAACACCTGCAGGAAACAAATCCTGGTTGTTATGTCGCATTCTTCCTAATTTTAAAGCATTCTAATGCAAGCAGATTATTAAGATGGCTGACTCATACCAAGGTGAATCAACCCTTCAAGTCTCGTCAAAACAGACAAATTGGAGAGGCAGAAATTATGGTCTTTTAGAAAATCTGACCTTTACTTGTGAAGCAGCAAATTATGTTCTTAGCCTGTTAGTATATTTAATGTAAAAAAGTAACACAGCAGGAGAAAATACACTAAGTGCCAAGCGCACAACAATCTTTTAGAAAATGAAAGCTAGATGAGGAACAGGATGCATTGTTCAAATAACTAGTAAAATCAGGTTTTATTTTTGAGTATATCCTTGCCGTCTGTTAGTCTGTTCTCTGCACCTGGCAGCGATACCCTTCTGCTTTAACTACATTTCTCAAAAACAAAGATTCTAGTTTTTGTTTCTTCAACATTCAAATCTCATCAGTTATGTCCAAGTGGTCACTGCTCCTCCAGCTCAGGAGGACTCTCTGAATGAGTTCCTTCACTCCTCTTGTACAAAATCAAAAAGCCCCGACCAGGACAGCTGCCAGGGGGCCTCCTGTGATTTGCAGTGAATCCATTTCTTGCTGGCGCTGAATACAGATTGCGACTGTGACACAGATTAAACTACAATGCATCTTCAGATTAAAGCAATTAAAGTGTCAGAGCTGTGAGGCACACTGTTTCAGCTGTGGAAACAAAAGGAGACATTCAATCCATTAGGGCTGTGTTATGAGCTCGGCTTAAAGATCTTCAGTGTGATGTGTGAGAACAAATGGACTGCTTTAGAATAATGCAAAGATAATGAAGCAGTGTGTGTGTGTGTGCTGTTTATGCTCATTCGGCATTAATGTGCGTTGCTAAAAAGACAATCAACAAAGGCGAAATCCACTCTCAGCAGTGGTTTTCCATGTAGTTACTTTATGTGTTGTAATGAACTGTCCTTGCTGTTGAACTCTGATCAGCTCACTTTAACCATTTCAACCCTCGAAATAGACCTCTTTGTCACTTGAGGCATTCATAGTCCATCCATCCATCCATTTTCATCCACTTATCCGGGGCCAGGTCTTGGGGGCAGTAGGCCAAGCAATGCACCCCAGACGTCCCTCTCCCCAGCAACACTTTCCAGTTCCTCCTGGGGGACCCCAAGGCGTTCCCAGGCCAGACGAGATATGTAACCCCTCCAGTGTGTTCTGGGTCTGCCCCGGGGCCTCCTACCAGTGAGACTTGCCCAGAACACCTCCAGCAGGAGGCACCCAGGAGGCGTCCTAATCACATGCCCGAACCACCTCAACTGACCCCTTTCGGCACAAAGGAGTGGCGGCTCTACTCCGAGCTCCCTCCGGATGCTCGAGCTTCTTACCCTATTTCTAAAGCTGAGCCCAGCCAGCCCACGGAGGAAACTCATTTTGGCTGCTTGTACCCGCGACCTAATTCTTTCCATCACTACCCAGAGCTCATGACTATAGGTGAGGGTTGGGATGTAGATGGACCAGTAAATCGAAAGCTTCGCCTTCTGGCTCAGCTCCCTCTTCACCACGACAGTCCAGCATCACTGCAGACGCTGCACCAAACCGCTGATCCACTCCATTCTACCCTCACTCGTGAAAAGACCCCAAGATACTTGAGCTCCCTCACTTGGGGCAGTAACTCTCCACCAACCCGGAGTGGACAATCCATTGGTTTCCAGCAGAGAACCATGGCCTTAGATTTGGAGGTGCTGCCTCACCGACCGCTTCACACTCGGCTGCAAACCGCCCCAGTGCATGCTGGAGGTTACTGTGGCATTCATAGTGTTTCTCTAAAACTGCAGATGTGCTGAGTAGGTAAAACAAGAGGTGCCTGTAGCTCAAATTTTAGACCTTGTCCTGCAGCAACCTATGGAAAACCTACCCACACCAGTCATGCATACATTCACTTCCAAAATAAAGATTCTATCAATTCTGAAGGGACCTGATTACAATCAAACCACATTTGAGAAAAAAAACTTGAGGATAATTAGACTGGATCTAAAATGCGGTTGACCTGAACAGAACAAAACAGAGAGAGAACACCAGCACAGGTAGCAGCACAATGCTCCACTGATTAGCAGCTCAAGTAAAAAAGGAAGGCAATATGTCACTTCTCCTGCATTACAAATGCTGCAAAATACTAATGCTGCATTTACAACAGCTTTAGTGTGTTTCCTTTTATCTGTGCACAAGTTGTGTCATATTGTCCTGTTTGTCTCAGGTGCACTAAAATGATTTTCTTTCAACTTTTATTGTAACATCAATAGGGCAAAGTTTAAAGAGCTTGAGGAGGTGATTTATTTAGATATTTATGTTGCTGCTCACCTGTCCATGGCTCCAGCTCACCTCGCCCCGCCCCTTCACACAGGTCTCCAGTCGGATGGGACTCCCTGATACAAAATGTTTACTCTCCATACACATGCCGCTGCCCACGTTCCGGATCTACAAACACACATAACAGCAAAGTCATTAATAAGGACACAAAGGACATTCAGCTGTCAGTCAGCAGACATGATCATCATCATTAAAAGCAAGTGACAAGAGATTTTCTCAAAGACGTAATCACACAGGACATTACGCACAGAATTGTTGAGGCAGATTCAAGTTTTAGAATTAGACCCTTGGTTTGGTTTATTTGTGGGAGGCAATAACATGCAAATTAATCTCTGATTCACATCAAACAAATGTGCTCTTTCCTCTCTGAGTGCAGTCAAACCAGATTTCCAGGCGGCAGTCTGTGCCACGGACAGATTTGATTGTTAGAGCCAACTGGCCAACATTTTCTTGACAGCCTCTTGAGTTATTTCAGAAAAAAAAAAATTGCTGTTAATAATGATTTGGATTTTTTGGTCTGATGGTTATATTGAAATATCAAAACAAAAATGTTCAGCGTCTGAATATTCAGAGTGCGGCTTGATTAAAGGCAAATTGTTTTTCTCTGTCAGTTTTTTTAATGTGATATTAAAACAAACAAAAATTAAAAATAAAATTTCCATTTTTTGCTGTCACAACTTTGTCATGCTGTCCAGCACTACCATGAACCAAGTGTCTGCTTAATTAAAATACTGATGTGACAACAACATAACACACAGGCTCGTTGAGAATAAATTAAATATTATTTTAAGACCAAAACTTGGGCTCTAATAAAAACATTTTCAGGAGAAAATAATTAAAAGGTTTGTTATTTTGTAGTCATGATGCCATGGTTTCAACTCTGACAAACCAACTGTTGAGACAAATTAATTTCACCGTCTCTCCTTTTGTGTTTATGTAAGACAGCTGACTGTACCTCTCCCCACGCAGCAGCAGGAGGCTCCACTGGTGGGTAGTGCTTGGGCAGATCCCAGGCCACCTTGTTCATGAACCACTTGAAGTTCCTGCAGTTGAGGCGGTTCCTCAGCTCCTTCTGCACCGTCATGTCGCCTGCTGACAGGTGGCGGTACTCAGGCCGACGCTGGTAGATGTATTCGGCGTACTCGTCCATCCACACCTCTGCCACGCGCTTCAGGTTCTGAAATCAGAGTGAACCAGTTTTGTATGTCCATGTAAGGCGCTTTGTAAATGCAGTTAATCCTTTTAAAATACAAAGATGATTGTAGTTTGTGCGATAGGAAATGTTTCTGGAGCACTTCCTGTACCTGATTAGACGACCCAGTTTGTTAGACTGTCATTAGGTTTGTACTTGAATAAAATTGAGGCTGATCTAGAAACTTAACAAAGTTTCACCTCAATTATCTACTTTACACTATAGATGGTCTGCACTTAACTCAATGCTGATGCTAAGTGAATGTGCTTTCCCACTGTGTCAGACAGTAAAAGACACTCACTTGAAAGTCTGCAGGTCAACCGGCTTCTTAGCAGATCTTAGACTCTCTGGACATCACGTCTTCATTCAAACACAGACTAAGACATCATCTGTACATCCTGCCATCTCTTAATGCTTTGATTCATCTTACACGACAAAGTGATCAAAGCCGCTCAGTAGAAAAAGGCAGCCAGTCGTCCTAAAGGACCTGTCATCGTGTCCCAGAGGGCGAGAGATGAAAAAATAGGAGCAACTTGTCTCCAGTCATGAAAGCAGTTACAATACTGAACTCAATTATGTGCTACAGGGTGGCTTCATAAAAGACAAAGTGTTTCTGTCTCTTTTTCTTTTCTCCCTGTCACTTTCATTATGACAGACGTAGCCTATTACACTATCTCATGAAACAGTGAGCACGCTGAAAAGTTGGACTAAATCTTTTGGATTTTGAACTAAATGAAAACTGCAAGACTGGTTTGATGATCTCTGCCAAGACACCAGATTTATACAAACTTAAAAGCATTAGCATTTCTCAGATGTGGTGTTAAGCCTTTGACATGACCACTTCCTCGGAAAATAATGTCCCAAGAAACTGTGAGAAACATGCGAGACCACTTAAACTTTACGAAATATGCAACAAAATGAGAACAGTGTCAGACAGAAATATCCTGAAACCCACCTTCTTTATATTGTGTAATTTGCCAGTTCGTGCGGCCTACATACATAATACAAACGCATAGCGCTCGTCTTAGATCACAGTTGTCCCAAAACGATTGCTGGTGTTGGAGCTGATTTTGTGAGTTTGCATTTTTGCTGTTTTTAGGTGAGAAGTACCTCCAGGTTTTGTATCTCATCTGCATTTTTTTTTGTGGCTCCCCTTTAATCTTTAAACGTCTTTTTATGATTGCCTTTTTATGGTGTCACAAGTGTTTTCACTAGACTACAAAGAAAGCAGCTTGGAATTAACTACAAACTAAATTACAGGCAGATTTATAGTGGCAAATGCATGAGAAAGACTTCACCTAATATACAAAAAGTATCAATCCTTCAATCAGTGTGAAACAGTCTAATATCAGAATGAAACTGTCTCAGGTTTCAGGTGAAGGAACTGTAAGCAGCGATGACTGCGGGGCAGACAGCTTCTTCAACAGGCCCTTTAAGCTTAGACAATTGCAAACATGAAAGATTTACACCCAAGCAATGGGGAATCCATCCATCTGAATCATTTGAGGTGTGAAGTAGTAAAAAACCCTGTCAGCCTCTGAGGTACAGATGCATGTTTGAGAATACAGATGGTCGTGGCCTTGGAGGTATGGATGGTGAAATGAATGAAAATACAGGTTCAGTGAGCCTCCCAGCCAAGTATAAATACACATTGTCCAGCCTTTGGAGGTACAGATGTAAAGGAAAAAACCCTCCAGCCACAAATAGACTCTCACACAGACTCCCTGTAGCATGGCTCATTGCCTGCAGCGATACTTGGGCTCTTCAGGTGAAGTAGAGTTCAGCGGTTCTATCTCCTTCCATGTTGACTGGACTTAGGTGGGTGGGGGACTCTTCTACCTCCTCCCTCTACTCTTGGGTGAGGAATAGCAGAGTCAGATTTTTTGTGAATGTGTCTGGAGAGCGCTTGTTTTCAGTATCTGTGCTTGCTGAATGGGCTTGCCTGATGTACTGCTGTTTTGTAAAGTAAGTATGGTATGGTAGTGCAAATAATGTCCTAGAATGTCAATTAAATGGATGAGAGATATCTACAAAATCAACAGTGTTTTGATACTGAAACAACATAAAGCATCTCAGGGAGGGTGAGATAGTTAGCATGTCCATAAAGTTTGGAAACTTTTTTTTTTTTGCCAAAATCAGTGCTATAAGAGTCAACAGCGCCTGACTCAAAGGCCTTGTTCAGACCGTTAGCCCAAATGTCCATTTTCTGACATATCTGGATTTTATCCAGATTGATTTTATGTTCGGACAGAAACAAAACACATGAAAAACCATTTTTGAAAATTGGATCCAAACCACATTTAGAGGTGCTTTGAAATGTGATTCCAATCACATTTCTACAGATGCATCCCATTCCAGATGCTCTGGCTGCTCAAGTCCGATTTCAAAGTGTCTCACACACAACTATTACATCAAATCTAGAGAGTCCGAAGCGCTGAGCAGAATCTGGGCTGCTACTAGCAGAGCGCTGTGGAGGACAACATGGAGAACAAGTCTGTGGAAAGACGCTGACGGAGGAGTTCTGCACCGTGACTTCACTGTGCAATTGTTTGGAGATAAAATGATGGACTTCCATTTAGTATGATTAATGCAGAGAAATGCCTATCAGTCTGACATTTTGTCCACTCTAACCAATTTCCATGGGGGAGGGGGATTCAATTTTCCCTAACCCATCATCGGAGACCAACATATCCACCTGAATCTAAAGTAATTTTAAGTCCATCCTGATAAGTAGCCATACCAACATACTTGTTTTGCTGAGGTTTAAAAGGTGAGGTGGAATGAAGTTAAACAAACTACGATATCGGGCGATACTGAGAAGATGTGGATTTAAAACAGCCTTCATAGCAGCATCTTTCTTGTCTAATAATCCTTGCCATTATTGTTATCACTACTCATTAGCCCTTTTTAGACAGGAGTTGTGCAAATTTGCAGGAAAGCGGTGAGTGCAGCAAAATGCCGCCTACCTACTTTTGTTTATACAGAATGCGCCTTTTTCGGGGCAATGGGGGGCGTGAGCAAGTAACAAAATGTGTAGCTCAGCGTGTGACGTAAACAGTGACGTGGGAGGGAAGCCGCGGCTGGTCAGTCCTTCAGCGATTCTCTCCTAAGTCTGGCCGTTCTTCACCGTCCCCGTCATCTGACGGTTAATGGCCTCTTCGTTTGCGAGGACAAGGAGGGCGCGCAATTCCTTGTCTCCCCAGTTGCTCATCTTTACAGTGTCTGTCAGGTTTGCGTTTCCCTCTTGCTACTAGCTGCTCGCTAATTCCTGCTATCAGCTGTTTCCTGTTTATCCACCGCCAGTGGGTCACACGTGCAGTGCCAACAGCTCCTCCCACAAGTCTTCAACAGCTCGTTGTCGAAGGCCGCCTCGGTCTTTTTAAACTAAAAAGGTTCTGCCATTATGACTACCCTACGAGGCGGAAAACTGGGCGCCTTGGATCAACTCGCCAATCCAGCTCTGTGTGTCTAAATGCTTGCAGCTTGCCGGCAAAACGGCCCAACATTCGCAGAAAATCTGGCAGTGTAAAAGGGGCTTCTGGTTCAGGTGCACCACTTGACAATGCTTGACAACAGTGTTAGTCCTGCCCATGGTGCTGATTGGCTAACTAATGAGAAACTGCTGTCTCATGTCACAATGCAAGACGCATCAGTCAACTTGGTGGAGAAGGCAGATTTAAAGGTCTGGACCTTGGCAAGTTATGAACACAACACCAACATGTCATCATTTTAAGCTGACATGGCAAACGTGCTACCAAACAGTAGCTTACTCACACATCCAGTTGTTACAGAGCAACTTTATCACTCATTTAATTGTGTTTGTGTAAGTCCAATATTCACCCTCCCTACCTCTGTTTTTTCTGCCTCTCTCTACCAACTCCTGAGGGAATTATCTGGCTCTTTAGCAGCTAAATGCTGCACTATGCTCACCAACTGTGTCTGTCTGCTGTTTGGTGCTGAGCAGGTCGTGTACAATAGGGTTTTAATAGCTTTACCCCTGAAAATGGCTGCCTACATGATGACAGTGACCTTATTCCCTTGATTCAATTTCTACAACTGCAATGATGCCAGTAATACAAACCCACATTATATTAAAACAATGTGTATTTTTAATCAAGATGTTCAGTGAAAATTAACTTGACTACAAAGTTTTATCCATTCCCGGTGAATACCAAACAAACTCACCAGTCAACTAAAGTAAATCATTTCAAAGGGAAAGGCTTGCTTTTTAAACTACGATGTAGAGAGGCACACAGGGGAAATAACAGAATTCATCACAGCCTAAGGTACAGTAAATTTTTCTGCATTGTTAAACCTGCTGCCCATTTGATATCAGCATTCAATACAGCGTCAGCGAGGGGCTAATGGTCAGACGGAAGAGGCAAAAAACAGAGGTTTAATTACATATTCAGCCGAGGCAAACAGAGCCAGGTGTCAGACTGAGGCTGAGTCATGCATAATGAATAATGTTCAGCTACAGGCCAGACGAGCATTTTTTAAATATTTCCCATCCTGTGTCAAAATGTTGACGCTCACATGAAATAAAGAAAGTGGAGCTGATTATTGGAAAATGCTAAGCTGTATATTGTGGATACAGGGGTTTGATTCTGACCCACGATGCAACTCAGACCACCGATAGTTTGGTTGGAGATTTGGGTGTGTTATGCTAGAGGAGGCTAATGTAGCCTTGCAGCAGAGATGAGGAGCTGGCTACACGTCTTGTAAGCTTACTTCTTTTGAACTCCACAACCCCAGATTGTTTTTGGGTTTTTTTTCGCAACTGAAGTCTTATAGAATGGGATCAGCGATGCTCAAAGAAGCCAACACACATTTGAAAAGCTCAAAACATGCTTGTTGTGCTGAGGGTGATCTACACACCTTGCTGTTAACAGTTGAGATGTTCATAAGGTAGAACATACATTCCATTCAGCTCCACACATTCAATGTAAAAAAATCTGACCATGAAAAGTTTACACAGAAACATCAACAAAAGCAACCAAGACATTCTTGTGCGTCAAGGTGTCCATGCTACCATGCTATAACACATCACACTCACCCTGGCCAGGCTGACCCCACCAGGAACTTTGTAGGGGACGTACTTCCTGTAGATGTGTCCTACCCTGGAGCAAGGGATGTCCTCCATTCGACCACCACACATCCACACCTACAGAGACACAGAGAGAGAGAGAGAGCAGATTCAGCAGTGTTTGACAATATCGGGTCAAGGTCTGGTCAAAGCTGCAGCGCTGGTGTTTGTGCAACTGAACAGTGTGAATATCAGATGAGCTGACAAGGTCGGCAAATCAGACAGATGAAACAAAACTGTGTGAAAAAGACAAAGCGGGGGAAGATGTGATGAAGACAGCAATGGGGAGCAAACAAGGTTAGAATGTAAAGAAAGCGAGAGATGGAAGGAGTGGGAGGATGACAGAGACGTGAAGCAATATATACTGTATGTACACAGTTGCAGGGTATATTGACTGGGGTCATGGCTCTGTGGAGAGAGGGATAAAAGGGAAGGAGAGGGTATGTCTGGGAAAAAGAAAAGAAGAAAAAGAAGTCAGAGTAGAGATGTACAGTCAGACTCACTAATATATTATAAGGTTAGATAACAGCTTAAAAACTTCTGAAAATAATCCTCTTTTATAGAGAGAACACCAGAACAACCCAACAAAATGAAAAAGTTCATGTGTTTGTAGTTTGCATAGAGACCGGAGAGAATAAATGACATCAAAGAGAACAAGACAAGTCAATCATGCTTAGCTAAATGACAAAGACTGAAATTGGATTTGTTATGCTACTTTTGGAAAGCAGAGCCTCTTTTCAAGTCTACAGGGTGTGAGTACTTGAAATTTCCAAAATAGATTTCTGGTGATGTATTATGTGAAACTTCATCACAGCAGTCTGAGGTTAGAAGGTCAGACAGTGAAAGTTTGGGTGAACTTTAGCTTCCACTTTGAGTATCTTAAGGAACACTTGCCAGTTCACTCCTGAGCTCATGCATTTCTCTTTATACTGCAGAAATCCTTCAAAGTGTGACAAAGCTCATGTCTTTTGAATCAAATAATAATCAAATAATAATAATGGTTAAAAACTGTCAGTGAACCATGGAACCAGTGAATGTTGGGCATTTTAACTTGATAAAGGATGTGGATGATTAATTGATAATCTTACAAAGACAAATGGAAACCAGTTGCTGCTTCAAATGGTTAGAAAAATATGTCAAATAAATCTGAAGAACATGCAGTTGAAAATTATAGGCAAACAGCAGGGAAGGGCAATACCTAACTTTTTATTTTATTTCATTTTATTTATTTATTACGGCCATTAATAACATTGTTATTACAGATTTATTGTGGGCACATTCTTGTTTTTGTTCAGCCTCTTTGCAATCTGGAAATCCATCGGTAAAAAAAAAAAAAAAAAAAATTCTTCCTTTACCTCTGGAGTCACTGCCCGTAGTTTTTCGACTAATGGAAGTGCAGGGGCCTCGGGGATTGCTCACCTGCTTCACTTCCGGCGGTGCCCCCAGTGTTACACTCCTACCTGCAACTCGAACCAAACGGCAGTAAAAACGTTGCCGCTAATGCCCTTTTTTCCTGTCGTGAGGAGTGGAAGGTGTGCTGGTGGATGCACAACGCTTGTAAGTTGTGCTGTTGTCCGTGTTTTTCACGTTGACGAGACGGCGTTTTGGGTGGAGCGGTCACCATGGACGCAGAGCTTGCTGTTTCTGTAGGTACACATTTCCTGGGGACAGCAGCACGTCTCGGCCCGCCCCCTCCATTGTGACTGGCTAAAGTGCAGCACTGCCGACAGATTCTACAATGTAAATTGCAGAATCTGTCTTCAGAGATTAGCCTCTTTGTAACTTTCAGGGTGCATTTTTGTGGCTCCTTTTACGAATGTTTGAAGAGGTTACTCACGTTGCTGCAGTGTGGCACTTGCCATAAACAGTGCATCTTGTTTTATTTTTACCTTAAGGTGGATAGAACGCCACGCTATGTTTCCTTTCTGCCATATGACTCACGAGTCTCACGCTTCATACAGACGTGCATCTGTGTGTGTCTGTGCACTGGGTTGTGACACAGGCTAGCTAAAAATGTCAGGGCTGTTTTGGCACAAATATACAAAAGAACTGAAATGTTTGGAGGTGATGCAGCCACCGACGTTTTTTATATATATGAAGTATTGATCCCACAGCAACGTTACAAGATGGAGTGTACATGATTTGTAGTTAATGGGCTACTTGCAGACTCATTGGCATGGTCCTAAAAAATCATCAGTTTCTCACTTCTTTCAACTGATGGTGGAGCATGCCAGTGTATTTCTTTATCATTCAACTTAATCATCCATCCATCCATTTTCTGCAACAGCTTATCCTATTCAGGGTCACAGGGAGGCTGGACCCAATCCCAGCTGGCATTGGGCAAGAGGTGGGGTACACCCTGGACAGTTCACCTGACTATCAAAAGGCTGACAGATAGAGACAGACAACTATTCAAGCTTGTGACTCTGCAATCACAACCATGCTGGGTTTTTCATACTTTCCTTGACCTCTTATACCAACTCACAGCACACCGTCCTCCACAAGCTCCCAAATCTTGCAGTCTACTCCTACTACTCCTCCTGTCGTGACTAGAATCTCTTAGTTCTTGTCTAAAAACTGCTTTGATGTAACCAATGTTTCTCTATTTTTTTCATACCATGCTTTTATTCAGAATGACTTGCAATAACTTTGGTGTCTTTCTCACAGATGCGTCTGATGATGGACATAGCCCGGCCACAGGGGGAAGCTCAGTGAGTCAATAACGAGAGGAAAATGCTGCTCTATCCCTGACCGATGGACTTCCCTTCCCTTTTGGACTTGATAATTTCCAGTCAGTTTGTTGTTATTCTGCATCACTCCCCTTCCTGATTCCTCCAGAGTGGACATCAGCTGGCTGCTATTTCAATTCAATTACTTCTTGTCAAGTTTGTTGCACCACTCCAGCTTGGACAAACAGAATCGGGGGAAATAACAGATTGAATCCAACCCTCCCCACATCTCGCTGTAGGGAAGGTCTGACCTGCTGTGCCAATCCCTTCCATCGTCTTCATCCCGGACTGAAACACTTGAGCTTAATAACAGGGGCGCCTCGCGGCAGGGGGATCAAGAGCTTGAGTTCAGCGCCGGTCAGATTAAATTGAAAGTCTTATCACTCGCCTCAAACACACAACTTCTACAATATGCTCACCTCAAACTATGAACACTAAAACCATACCATACCGTACCATACCGCCAAGGCACGTGGCAGCATTACCACCTCTTTTAAAAACAACTGTATTAATGTCGTGCTTTTCAAAAACAAGTCCCAAAATGCAACGAAAATGGGGCCAGCCAATGCTCTACAATACACGACACTATCAACAATATTTGACCCAACAGCATCGACTGCATTTACATACATATGTGATATATCTGATCGTTTATGACTGTTGCCAGTAAACTTCTTTAGATGTTGTCAAACTGAGGACTGCGGTTTCCTTTTTGAGGCCAATAGACAAAGAAATAGCTGCTGTAGGTGTTACCTGCATACTTACAAGGTACCCTGTGAAGTTTCTGACCACCAATACCACCAATATCACCAAGAAGCAATGTCTTTATGAGTTGGTCCCTGTTTTGTTTGCATCCAGTGCACATGCAGACTCATATTCATGTGCGTGTTAATACAGTCAAAGCAACACATACTCCTGCAGATGGTTTCATGCTTGATCAAAAGTCGGTGGCTTTAATAGTGCTTAGAAACATGACAGTGCCCCTACATAAGTGGGGAAGGAGCAGAACTGTCAACTGGCATTAGTAACAAAATAACAAATTAAACACCATTTTCTACCTTTGTTTTTTGGGTCACCTGTCATTGCACTCACTATGTCTATCTAAACTCTGTATAGTCAACATTAGAGAAGATTTGGACTGATGTGGGAATTATTCAGGAATCTGTATTGGGGCTAATTTCCTACATCTTGGAGTCATGACGCTTTATTTCTTGAGAAGTTTTCCTGTATTGATAAACCAGTTTTTTGGGGGGAAATCTCCTTTACAAGTGCAGCTGGTGGGTTCAAACTGGGGTCAGAGCTTCAGTATGGTATAAAAGTCTGTACATTCTGAAGGCTGACAGAGAACGCTTGAGTCTTCTCTCCATGCTGCACACTGAGTCCGTCACTTCTTCAGAGAGGAGAATATCCCTCACACTAAACTTGCTGAATGTCTGAGCGTGCTTGAACGAGTCTTTTATATAATTTTCTGTTGTATTAGAAGGTTTGGCATCAGAATTCAGAATAGGAGGGTTGGTGGTTTGATCCCTGGCTCCTGCAGTCTACAAGCCAAAGTGTCCTTGGGCAAAATACTGAACCCCAAATTTGAGTGTGAGTGTGCGGATGATTAACTGATGAGCAGGTGGCACCTTGTATAGTAGTCTCGGCCACCACTGTATGAATGGGTGAATAGTACCTGCAGTGTTAAGACATTTGAGTGGTTGCTAAGACTATATATATATGCAGTCCCTTTCTCATTCGTTCCCTGCTCACTAGCTACTCTTGTACACTCCCCCTGTTGGTCCTGCTTAAAACAGCAATGTAAAAGCTTTCATGCATACCATACTGTATGTTGAATCACTATCATTTCAGTATCAATTAGCAAAACAGAGTAACAACACAAGTATACAGTGATGTGAAGGAGCAACAGAAGGTGAAACAAATATGTCCAATCAAAGCAAACTACCCAGCAGTGGCCTTTGTGCTTAATTGAGTGAGACGACAAAAGACCTTACTCATTCAAACTAGAATTCAATTACTGTGACGGGCCGTTCTGTCTGTGCAGAGCATGCTGACGGAGCCGGCAGAGAGGAGGGAGGGACTAGTTCTTATTAACATGCTGGCCAAGTTGCGAGCAGTTATGGCTATGCAATAGAATGATTTCTGCTGAAGCACCAGACAAAAGCGTAATCTAATATGGTATTCTGAGTATGATTAATGTGGAGAGTCTTCCATGCAACAGAGTATGTTTAGCTCAAATGATTGGAACAAGAGTTGAAAGCATAATGAGGGATGTCTCATGGACTCAACAGGCTGTTTTTTTCTGCAGCTATTTAGTTAAAGAGCTGTGGATAAAGAAATAAAACATGAGGAGAAACATAAAGAACATGATCTGTTCTCCTTTGAAAGCAATTCAATGTCAAAATACAGATGCTTTCAGCGTCTTAACACAAAATGAGCAAATGTTCATTAATTAGAGGGAGCTCTAGACGAAACTCAAGCGTACATCATTTGCACAAAGATGCAACAACTACTGAAACCCTGCGAGTCCCAATCTGTCTTTTACTGTAAATAAAGCTGAACAATATCAGCAGAACTTGAATAGCAACATAAACTCCTATTTAAGGATTGCTGGGTAAATCAAAATTGTGACTACAGTAACAATTAAGGCGGCACGGTGGAGTGGTGGTTAGCACTGTCGCCTCACAGCAAGAGGGTTCCCGGTTTGAGCCCGAGTGTGGGAACCCTTCTGTACGGATTTTGCATGTTCTCCCCGTGTCAGCGTGGGTTCTCTCCGGGCACTCCGGCTTCCTCCCACAGTCCAAAGACATGCAGATTGGGGACTAGGTTAAGTGGTGACTCTAAATTGTCAGTAGGTGTGAATGTGAGCATGAATGGTTGCCTGTCTCTATGTGTCAGCCCTGCGATAGTCTGGCGACCTGTCCACGGTGTACCCTGTCTCTCGCCCAATGTCAGCTGGGATAGGCTCCAGCCCTCCCGCAACCCTTAAGAGGATGAAACGGTTAGAAGATGAAGATGAAGTAACAATTAAGTTATAACCAAAAGAAATATACTTTAAATTTAATTTAACCCTTATGGAAATGAGAATAACTACTACTGCATACTATATGTGTAAATGTACAGCAAGTATGTAAAATAAGCATGCAAAAGATGTGAGTATGCAAACGTTGTTGAAAATACTGAATACACAGCCAATTAATTGATCAAATCAATGAAACTTACATCCATCCATGACACATAGAGACAGACAACCATTCACACTCACATTCACACAAATGGCCAATTTAGAGTCACCAATTAACCTGCTGGAGTGCCCGGAGAAACGGGGAGAACATGCAAAATCCGCACAGAAGGGCTCCCACACCCGGGATCGAACCAGGAACCCTCTTGCTGTGAGGCGACAGTGCTAACCACCACACCACCATGCCGCATGAATTACAATGAAGACAATTAACAAATTACAATTCACATACTGCTCATGTTTCTAACAAACTAACATAGTTCATAGTGCTGCCCACAACTTCTGAACTATACCACAGTCACATTCAGTGGAAAAGTTAAACATTTTTACGGAGTCCTCACCCTGCAAACCCTCTGTTCAGTCTTCTCCCTTCAGCTGAAAGACTACGTGGTATTAAAGATCCCTTGTGTTGGATTTAGGGGGAATAGTAGACTCACAAGTCAGTCTTTAGACGCTTTGCTTAACTAAAGACTGATGTCTTTCTCCCTGATTTTGTGTTTAGATGGTCGGATACAATTTTAGAGTTTTAAATAACTCCCTACGTTGCAGAACCAATAGCAAATCCGCAGGGCGGTCCTTCGGTGGCTCGCTGAACTCTTGTGCTCGTAAACATAGTCTGACTGCGTTAAAAGTTTTAAACAAAGTCGCTGTAAGTGCTTCATTTCCACAATCTTGTGGACTGAGCACACGTTTGATAAAACGGAGTTTAATCTCTCGGCATCCATTTTCAAGCTCTCTGTGTGTTTGTTTCCTTGCGGACGAGGGAAGGGGGAGCGCACATTTCCGGGAGGGCGTGTCCTTTTCAAAAATGCAAGAGGTGTTGCTTTGTTCCCGGCTGTTTTTGCCGGTGTGTTAAACACACTTTAGAAGGGAGTGTCCCCAGACTATCAGAAGGTGGAGATCTCTGATTGTCTGGTGGAGAGACCAGGGGGAATAGGGCCAATTAAGTTTTTGTGTTTTCATGTCGGCCACTGTGGTTCTCCTAAACTCTTGGCATGTGGGAGAAGTTTCAGTTCTGCAACCTCACCACTAGCTGCCACCTTCAAGACTAGAACATTTCGCTGCCACAACAGCACTTATCCTGCAGGAATATGCATCCTAAATGCTTCACTGGTTGTATAAACAAGCACATGCACTTTAACTTGTCACTTTGAGATCATGGGGTATTTATTGTGTTGTTACTGTATTGTAATTACAGCAGTGTGTTTTATGGACACTCCTTGTTGTACTCACTATGTAATTATATGTTTTGTTTTTGTTGAGTTCACCAAAACAAATACGACAATAAATTACTGTGTTCTGAATCAGTGTTCTACATACAAAATAGCATCCAGTAATTCATTCATTTTCTGTAACAGCTTATCCTGTTGGGGGTCGCGGGGGGGCTGGAGCCTATCCCAGCTGACACTGGGCGAGAAGCGGGGTTCACCCTGGACAGGTTGCCAGACTATCACAGGGCTGACACATAGAGACAGACAACTATTCACACTCACACTCACACCTACGGACAATTTAGAGTCACCAATTAACCTGCATGTCTTTGGACTGTGGGAGCAAGCCGGAGCACCTGGAGGAAACCCATGCTGACACAGGAAGAACAAGCAAACTTCGCACAGAAGGGCTCCCCCACCCCAGGGTTTCAACGAGAAACTCTCTTGCTGTGCAGCGACCACACACGACACACTACACTGTGGTTCTGTGTGTGATGGTGTTGTGTTTACCTTAAAGGAGATCTCGTACTGTTCTCCTCCCCAGATCTCCAGACCCGTGTCATATCCTCCCAGCTCCCAGAACCACTTCCTGTCCACAGCAAACAGCCCACCGGCCATAACTGGTGACCTGGAAGACATGTAGAATACAGTTAGTGTGATACAGTAAAAGTGTGATGAACAATATGACATTGAGGTACAATCTTTCATCACCATGACCAAAATTCCACAAGATGATCTCCTGTTATTTAGGATAACTGTCATGGTAATTCAAGGCTGTTGCTAGGAAGCACTGCATGGTTGCCAGGGTGTACTGTGTGTTTAGTCATAACAGAGGCAGTACTTAAAGCTCTGGTGGTATGTAGTGTAGCTATTAAGAGACCATACAGACAAATAGGCTACGTCTGAAATTACTCTCTCAGTAACTCAGACATTTCTCTCTATACAACACACACTCAACAGTTTACCTCATGGAAGCAGCACATTGATATTTCTGACACTTATGAATCATCATTCTGCGTCATCGCTGACAGGTATTGTGTCGCACAAATGATTTGCACATCTATAAAATGCTCTGTGGAGTTGGCAGCAGAGAGTTGTGAACATGGCATTGACGCTGCTTTTTTTGTTCCATTGTGGGGATTTTAAAGAGCAAAATGAAAATGGTAGTAAATATACTGCTCTGTATAAACAGGGATTCCTGACAGCCACACAGATATCACATCTGACTGTTTCAGCAGCACAGATAGAGTACAGTGAGGCAGATAGAAGTGAAAAATGCAGTGATGACAGGGATAATGAAAAAGTAAAATCCAGATTTATTTTTGTTTGTGTCTTATTCAATATTCTTGTAGAATACAAAGAACATCTGTCTACACAGAGAAGAAAGTTGTTCAGATTACTTATTGCTTCATTTCCATGAGGTTTGTGTTTTTCTGATGTCTGAGTTTTTTGGTAAATTTTATGAAAATGACAAAATTATGAGACTACCAATACATCGGGGCCAACTTTGAAAACTAGAGGAGGTAAGCATACCTAATGGTTTCCTCTGTCGGTGCACCGATCTGATCTACCGTGGTGATCAGGGTGTCGATCCACAGATATGAACGATATCAACAGTCTGTCTTTTTTACACATACTTACATTCAAAAATAGTTTCAAGTATAAAGCGTTTATTCAACTGAAGAAGAAAAACCAAATATTTTTTTGGGCCAGAGGTATAAAGTTCCTACCCCATGCTTCCAGCGCCTTGCTCGAACTACACCCATCTTCGAACTTGGCCTTCATTATGATCTCAACTATGAATCTGGAAGGTTTCGTGACTGCATTTTGCATTGCTTTGACGCAATCACACTCACAAAAGCTGTTTACGGGCAGACACACAGACATATTAACACCTAGCAACATACTCAAAACAGCTTTTGTAATAGTTCCTGCCATAACAGGTGCCATCAGGACCACATTTTGCCATGATGACATGCACACACACAGAATCACAAGCTGGTGATGAATATTAGAATGTGGTTAAACCTGTCTTTTCAACCTGAACAGGTCTGAGCCCTGGCATTATTCATAAAAGAAGGCGTATCCTTCATTACTGTAGACAGCTCCCATCTCACTTGTTTTCCTTGAACATCCAAACTAGATTTGTGAATATGACTGCATGCTGTACAGCTCAATTTGATCCTATAAACTGGTAAATAACAAGGACCTACTTCTGACCACATAAGACTGAATCAAGAGAAATGCAGGTCTAATATTTTATTACTGCTCACAGACTGTGAGAGTTTATTCCTCCCAAGAACTGTGTATTTTCCTGCTGTATGTGACTGTGTTTAGCAACCCAGTGACAGTCTGCACAGTGCAAACCCAATTAACTCATCCAAACCATTGTGAAATCTGACTGGTATGACAAGCTCTGTGGTGCCAAACATAATGGTCCTCGGCTCGGAGCGCAGAGGGAGCTCCTCCCTGGAGTGGAACTGAATGAAATGTATTGAGCAGCTTCTCACCAGGACACCAGTGGTAGAAACAGGGGGTGCAGTAGGGAAGAGAAAGAAACTTTTTATTTGGAGAGCATTTTGTGTATTGAACTATGAAATAATACAAGATAGACGTTGGTTGCTCTCCACCGTGCTTTTTCTTACTCTGACCTTAACCACATCAAAAAAGGAGGCCATATGGAAGAAAAGTGTTCCACTAGAAGCAGTTTTGCCCTGTGTCTGAGGTAATTCAAGACACATTCATATAACAAAAGGAGGCACAGGGTAGAATTATGTCTCACTTCAAATCCAGTGTGCTGGGGTACCTTGCCAAAACACTCAAAAATTTTGAGGTGGCTCAATTGTAGTGAAAGCAACTGGGAAGATTCTAGAAGAGCAAATCTGAACTGAGTTAAGTTTAAAATGTTTTGACTTAAGCAAAAAAAAAATTGAGCTTTATGACTCTCAACTGGAGTTTCTGAGTCAACTGAGTTCTTAGATCAGGAATAATGGTTCAAAGGCTACACTGACATTACAGACCTTGATGCTAAATTCCTAATCATTTCCTTAGATCCACATGTTTTGCTTAGACTGTTTACATTCATGTTTAAAGTGTCCCATACCTGACAACAGTGTGAAAGGATCTCCGCCCTGAAATGCCTCAGTAAAGTCACACACATGCACTTTGGAACAACAGCAAAAAATGTAACGTTTGCAAGACAGGCATTTCGAGGAAAAATTAATGACATATCAGTGCAAGCATTCGCCTCCTGAATTATCACTATAGTAGGAAGGTCAGTTTACGTTGTGTGCCATGTGCTTCTGTTTGGGTGAGAGTGTGCCATATTTGTGGAAAAATGGTCCCATGGAGCGAAAGACATTTGTTTTTGCGATAATAGGCGGTACAGGCTTTCAGTCCACTAGCTCTATTAGCTATTGCTGGTAGCTCTATGAGGAAAGAGCTGTGATGTGGAGGGTTTCATGGAAGAACAGTTCTTCCAAATCTTAGGATGTCAAGGGCTACAATCCAAAACTTCTGTCAGTGCCTCATGACAAGGCTTACACGGAAGCGTTAGGCAGTTGGGCTCCAATGCCTGGTGACTGGGGCAGCCTAACGCCGGAATTCCACTACATGTGTCTCCGTTGCAGAACGGCTGTGCTGGTTATCCGCTGCGTGCTCCACTGTCCACCCGCTGCGTTTGCTGTGCGCAGCGGTGTAGCTCCGCCGGACAGTGGGAGTCACGAGGACTCACGAGATCTCGCGAATTCACGCATAATCGCGCGATATAACAAGATGTAGTTTCTATAAACCGAACCACAAAACCAGAGGAGTAGTAGGAAGACATCTCGGTGTACCTCCATGATTAACATCTCCTCGTCCATGGTGTTGTTGGGATTCACAGGACCACAGATGATTTATCATTTGGTAAAATCATAACTGGAGATTTAAAAGCTTTTTCCTCTGCATGCTCTTTGTTCTCCAAACAAAGACAGCTAGGAGACACCCATCTCCACAGGAGGTCTCACCTCACATCTCAGTGAGACACAAGTCTCACAACTTGATTGGACAGGACTTTTTCAGGACATGTGACTCTGATGTCACAGGCATCTGTAGATCTGCTCCCTTCCAACAGATTTTTTTCTCTTCTTGCTCCAGCTGCTGTAGCAGCTGTACACCTCTTTCCGGTTGGGCCTGGAACAGCAGAGACCCAAACCCCTGCTCCGTACCCCAAACCACTAAAGGGAGGACAATTGATCACAGACTCTCTGACCTGAAACAGAAAGGTAGAGTTGCAAACACAAGGTCTGCAACTAGCTTTCCAGCAACAAGGAACTAAGTGAGTTAGCACCCAGCGTCTAACTCTACAAGGACCCCGAGTGACCAGCTTCCTCGGATCAGAACCTTTGGAACAAAGGACACCACAAAGACTGCAGCTGAAACCACACCTTCCCAGCCTTCTTCTGCCGGCTAACAGCAGTACACCACCAAGTGACTCTTTCCTCCATCCATTCAAGGATCGGTAATGTAACACTCCAAACCTGTACAAATATATATTCATATTCAAGAAAAGTTTGAGCAAATAAACTCAGACACAAAGTGAAATGAAAGAAAAATTTGCTTGACATTTCATCATTACAGGGATGGGGTTACAAGTGCAGTCAAGGAGTGAGTAAGCATGAGTGAGCCCTCGAATACACATTACACCTTGTAAAACTTCAAAAAATACACGACCGGCAATATCACACTCTACTTTCCCTGCCTTCCTACGGACAACATGGTGGACAGGCCCTGAGACCTTCTTCTAGACATTCCACTGTTATAACATTTTAGGACTGCAATGCATTTCTCTTGTCTTTCTAATAAAGTGTAGATTTTAAATCCTGTGATCCACGCTTGACAAACTTGTAGGATTTTAGTAGAGACACAGGAGGCATAGACGTTACCCTCTCCAACTCTTTAAATATGTTTGTCACGCTGCTGACTTGCTTGACTGGGTACAGTGGGTTTGAGCACTTCATTGTCCAAGACTTGTTACTTGCATGTTGGAGGAAGAAAACACACAGCTGACACTTTGCCTCCCTGGAGTAGTGCTGAATAGAATGCAATGTGGACCGACTTTCATAAGGAGATAAAGGATAAACAACGGTGGCTGCAAGGGGACAGAGGAGTGGCGTGTGTTGCATGGGTGTGTGTATGACTACACCAAGTGTAGTGATTGCAAGCTGTTGTGCGGTCACTGGAGTGTGTGAGCTTAGCAAAGAGAGCATAGACACTGTGCAGGCTCTGATTTGTGGGGTGGAGATTGTTAGCTCTTGTTTGACGGAGGGCAAAAACACAAACACACTTCACCACCTTGGAGTTGTGTGGAATGAGGCGCACTGGCTTCAGGATAGACAACACGGATATCTCACAACTCAGATGAAGCTAGTGAACACGAGGATCATTTAAACACAACCACTTCCAGTTTAATTTACCAGAATAACAGCCAGAGGCACATTCAGCTACAAATGTTTGCCAATAAACACTGTTTACTGTTAGCGTTAGCGCTCAAACCCCTGTTTGTCATCAAATATTAGATCTGCTGCCTAACACAATTACTTGAGGAAATTCAAATAATTTTTTCTGCCCCGAGGCTTTTATAATCTG